GGGGGCGGGGAGCCAGCAAGCAGGTGCCGTGTGGGCATCAGACTCTGGAGGACGGGCAGGCCCCAGCAGCTGGCTGGCATGCTTGCCCACAGATGGAGAAACCCTGGGAGGAAATCCTAGAGGGAAAAATCAGGAAGGGGGTGGGGAGGGGATACACGGACAGGCCCAAAGAGACAGACCTGTGACGACAATCTGGGCCTTTGCTCGTCCGGTCCCAGCCCCGCTGACCGCTGTGCATTCATATGTGCCTTCCTCAGCCTTGGAGGCCCGCGGGATCTCCCAGCTGCTGTTCCCTGACCCCCTGTGGACAACGAACAGCTGGAGACTGTCCCCCAGCCTCCTCCAGACACTGGGGGGCTTGGTCCCCTGAATCTTGCCCAGAAGGGAGGTCGCAAATCCTCCTGGAGACTTGGTTAAGAAGAGGCAGACCGCCAAGGACATGCAAATCCCATGATATGCTATGTGACTCGATAAGTGCCTTCCCCTCTCTGAGCCCTGGACTTCCAACCATAGCGGGGAGGTTCTCAAGAGGGTCCTTCATGCCCTGACCAGCACAGAGCTGGGCCTGCATGGGTTGAGTTTTCAGAAGCTGAGGAAGGCCCATGGCTCTTCCAGCTGCAGTGGGAGCCTCAGGGAACCACCCTCCCCCATCCCTGGCCAAGCTGGGAGGTGCCCAGGAGGACAATATGACTGAGACCAAGGTGCCACTCCTGCCACCCACTCCCCTTAGATCCCTCCAGGGCATCAGGCCCCCAGGAGCCCTGGGGCTGGGAACAACAGGCGGCCCTGAGCCACTCACTGAAAGTGCCTCTCCTCGCCCAGCCTGGCTCCATCCCGCCGCAGCTGTAGCCAGAAGGGGAGGGCGCTGTGCACAGAGCAGGAGACCACCAGGGGCTGGTGCAGGTAGCCGTGGATCCTGGGGGGCATGCTGACCAGGGGGGCACCTGTGGGCAAGGACCAGCACTCAGGATTCCTCCAGTTACACAGAGACCCACAGGGATGAGCCAGGGAAGAGAAGGCCGGGATACAATCTCTGGCACCACCATCCAGTGGTCACCAAGGGCAGGTCGCGTCGCCTCCTGAAGCCTCAGTTTCCACCTCTGTAAAATGGGGTTAATTGGGTTACTGACCTCATCGTGTTGCTGTGAGGAGCTGATGAGAGATGGGGCGTGGAAAGCACCTGGCACATGCATGTGGCAGGACCGGCTCCGTCAATGAAAACTCATGGGGTTTTTATGGTTTGTGAGAAGCCTGGCCAGGACGGACCAGCCTGTGCCACCATTTTAGCAATTCTGTGGGGCAGAGAAGTCAAACCAGCCTTGAAATCTGACGAAATGCTACCCAGACAGGACTCCCCAGGGGTGTGGGTAGGGCTGTGAGGCTGCTCGTCTGCCTGGAGGGTCAGTTTCACCCAAAGTTGTGGGAGGGAAACCTTTTTTATTGAAAAATAAGCATACTTGGAGCATGGCTGTGAATACAAAATTCACACGCATTTCTGAGATAAAATAAGAGACTTCCATGAAATCTCACAGCTTGGGATGAGCCTCTTGGGAACCCCATCAGATGCCACTGCCCCCCTCGCCTGACCCTGGCCTTGGGGTGATCCATATTCTTTCCCTGGCTCTTGGAATTACTTCAGTGGAAAAGTCTGAGAACTGTCCCCCAGGGTCAGTCTTGGACTGTCCGTGCCTCACTGGGCGATCACGGACGTGTGCTCAACCCTCGCACTGCCCTCCCCCCCATCCCCACCAGAAATGCTCCGAGGCGGAGGCAATGTGCCAGACCTGCTCTGAGCATAGAGCTGGGGGTGGGAGGGCGGCTGGTGACATCATGCTACAGGCTTCCTGCCACATCCCAGGGGAGAGGGGCGTTGGGCCATCCGGCCACGTCCTCAGCTGCGTGCACAGCAGCCACCACTCACCCGCACGCACTGGAAGCCTCTGCCGGGCCAGCTCCGGCTCCCTCTTCCTTGAGCTCGAAGAGCCCAGGGACCTGAGGCCCCGCCCTCCCCACCCCCACGTCTCCAAACCCAGAGCCTCCTTCTCTCAGTCAAACTCCCAGCCGGAAAGTAGGGGAGGCACATCCCCCTCAACCCCGCCTCCACACTTTAATCTACAGCTGACATGGAGAACAAAAGCCAGCGCTAAACTCAAAACTCTGGGAGCCATCTGAAAGAACAGGAGAGAGAAACGGGGGCTGCTGAAATTGCTTCCTGAAAATTCCTCCTCAAAGCTGTAAAAAAAGGCCAAGGGAGGAGAAATCCAGGGGCCACAGCAGGGGAGTGGAGGCCAGGAGACTGAAAGAAGGGGTCCCAAGCCCCCGACCCCACCCTGCCCCACTCGGGTCCGCCAAGTCCTCCACGTCGCCACCGGCACATTGGCACCCTCCCTGCATCCTTAAATGAAGTGGGATGACCCCCAGCAAAGCTGATAATGGAAAGCCAGTGTCATCCACCTCTGAACTCCTCCCCAGTCACTGCCAGGGGAGTGGGCTGGAAGAGGGAACGAAGCCCAATAAGGAGGCCGATGGCCAGTGAACTCAGACCCCACCCCACCCCAGGACCAGAGGCAGATCTGGAAAGCCAAAGGCTTTGCCCTGCCCTCTGGGAGCTTCCAGCCCAGATGGTGAGACCTCAGGGACACACTGGAAACCAGCAAAAGCCACACACATGGGAACCAACACACCGTGACCTACAATGACGTCACAGTAACAGCAGCCGTGTGGAGGGCCCCGGTCCACGGTTCCCACGTCCTGTGTGCAGCCTCCTGAGTACCCAAGAGCCATCTTGTTATGTGCATTAGCTTACGGAACCCTTCGAGCAACCCTATAAAATGGGTGACCTCGGCTTCCCCAGCTATAAAATGAGGACACATCTCAGAACTGGTGTAAGCATTCAATGAGCTAATGCACGGCAAGTGCTTGGCCCAGGACTGTCCCACGGAAAGTGGTGACTAGATTAGTATTACCATGATTTTGACTATGATAGCAATTATGATTAGGGAAGGGCATACCCATACCCACCGCCCTGCCCACCGCTGTGTCTACAGTGCCTAGTACCATGACCGACACAAAATGAATGTTGAATGCACAGGTGGATGGATGGACAGATAGATGGATGGATGCATGGATGGATGCACGGATGGATGCGTGGATGGGTGGATGACTTTGCAGCAAATCCTTCAGCTGAAAGCTACATCTGAAGCATCTCAGTATTTGGCATAATGCCTTGCAGAGCCTGCTGCCCAGAGAAGTTTAATGAAAAAATATTTCCTAATCTAATCTAATCTAATCTAATCTAATATCTAATCAGGAGAGCCTTCCGGAAAGAAATGAGCCTCCAAGGGAACCAGGGAGCTGGGGGTGGTAAGAGCCAGTCACTCACCTGGGCCCACCCCGCGGTAGGAAACTCCAGAGACGCGGAGGAGGGGGTTTCCCTCGTGGTCCTTGCCCTTCACCTTGAGGTAGAAACGCTCCCGGGGGGTGCGGAAGGACGGCCCGCCCCACAGCTGATGGGTGGATGCGTTGGAGAGGAGCCGTATGGGCAAAGTCAGGAGGGACCGCCCTGAGCTGTGTGAGAGCTCCATCGAGTCCAGGCGGCCGGGTGCCTGCAGGCCTGTGGAGTTGATCACCAGGGAGATGGGCACCCCTGCAGAGGGAAGGGCGAGGAAGGAGATGCCGCCATCTGTGCTGGGCTCCACGATCCTCCCCAAGCAGGGGCTCTAGGACCACAGTCAGAGAGCAGCCTGCCTGGCCGGCCTTCACCGGCTCCCTCACCTTCTCTTCCCTGGGCTAACTAATGCTGGGTGGGATAAGGAGAGAAGCGGGGGCTTGCTACTGTCCGTGGTCCTGAAACACCAGTGTCCCTCCAACCCACGGCTTCCCATGGCTACATCCCCTCTACTGTGAAGACTGGGGCGCTCACTGAGCAGAACAGGGAAGGGGTACCCCCACCCCTGCCCCGCCACTAACTCTGGTGCTGGCTGTCGTCAGGCAGGCTCTGGGACCGGCCGAGGTGAGACACACGCCCTGGTTTGGGAAGGCTGACTCCTGCCCATCCTTTCCCCATGCTCATCTATCCTCTGGTTTCCTTTTCTATCTTGCTGAAATGTACTTTCCACGCTATCCCAGGACAGACAGAACTGCGCTTGGGTTTTATAATCTCCTAAGCTGATGTGGGAACAGTCAGGTCGCTCCCTTTGCAGATGGCTATTCATTGTGTTTTTCCTCTCACTGATCATAAACCGGGGACCAGAGGATGTGGTCCAAGAAGTGCCTTCAAATTTTTGAAAAAGTATCAAACAATCTGGAAGGGGCACATACAAATCTAGAAGTCCAGATTCCTTTGAAAAATCAAGTGTGTCAGCGCTGAGCGCCATTCCCACATTGCAACAAGCAGCCAACGGCGTGCAGCAGCTGTTCCTGTGGCCCAGACCCCCACTGTCCAGTTAGCCACAGCCTCGCCCACTCCCTGGTGCCCCTGGCACTGAGACCAATCGCTATTTATCATTTGCAATTGCCCAATTTCTCTGTCTCTTTCGGATGTCTGGGACCCACGTCTTTATCAAAAGCAGAAACCGAAGAGGATCACACCCTTTACCCTCTTCCACTGGAGACTGGCCAGTTTTCAATCCCCACTGTAGCACTTCATGTAGGATTTCTTTCCTCTCTTGGCTTTAGATTAGGAACTAAGTTTCTCTGCCTCGCGCCCTCCCTCCCACTGGCAAAAACAAACACGACATGAGCAAGCAGACCCCTTTTTCATTTTGAAGATATTACTGCTGGTCCTGGCAGGGAAACCTACAAGGGCTGACAAGAATGACAGACATTAGAGGAGATACAGACTAGAAAGAAAGCCCTAAGGATCCAGCACACACCATTTGGGGTCACTATTCTGTGGTCCAAAGTAAGCCTGACCTGGTCTAGTCCCCCTAGCAAAATCCTCTGGATGGACCCGTGCAAGACACCGTATTTTCCAAACTATAAATGGGGACCCTGGTCTGGCTACCAGTTGGCATTTTCTGGCATGAAGCTCTGGTACCCTGAGCCAGAAGCCTCTGCCTGCTGGGGGGCCCAGCTTTCTCCAGGTGGAGCCATGATGGGGTATGTAGGCAACCTCAGAACCCAGTGTGCGGCTTCTCATTGGAAAACTTATCCTACGCCTCCAACGTCCCCCCAGGCTATCAGCCTCCAGGGGCATCTAAATGTCCATCAGGACACTCGTTCTCTTGGAGTGAGACACTGGTCCCCCTTTCGGGGAAGGTGTCCACTCAAGCACCTCGGAATGTATTGGACCAGCCTGATGTTCACTGGAAGAAGTGGGGCTCTGGACAGACAAATCTCGACAAAGAGCAAAGGGGAAGGAGTAGTAAGGGGGACTGCGTGAGGTCCTGGAGGCCTTGGGGGGCAGGGAGGGAGTTCTAAAGGTAAACGGTCCCAAGGTCACCTGGGCTGGAGCCGACAGAGGGAGTGCTGGCCCTGGGCGCAGTTCACTGTGATGTGAACTGGACCCAGCCTCTGCAGGCCCGCTCCATAGTCACACAGTCGTGGCTCCCCCCAGAGCTCCCCCCACTTCCCAAAGGCGAGCCCCACCTCCGCAGAAGGCGGCCCTGAATCGCCCTGGGGCCAGGAGCACGGTACCTTGCAGGGGCCACTCGATGGTGTGGCTGAGGTCCAGGGAGGGCTGAGTGGAGAAGCCAGCTCGGAAGTCGACGTTGCTGATGCCCGTGATCCTGACCGAATGGCGGCCGCTGCTATAGACCTAGCACAGGCCCAGGCCCACGTCACCGGGGCATCCGAACCCAACACCCCAGCTCCAGGCAGGAGGCGGGCGACCTGACCCGGCCTGGAGTCGGCAGCTGGAATTCTCCCGCCGTTGCATACAGGTGGGCAACTTACCTGCTCCCTGGGGGCCCAGCACGATGCTCCCCAAACGAAGTGGAAGAAACCCAGCTAGGGCACTGTCCTGAGCGGCACTCTCGAAGCTGCCCTGCCTTTCCCACGACCACCGCCCCCAACTCCCGCGGGTCTGGTCTGTCCCCCTGCACGTCTAACCCCTGCCTTGGCATGAGAGCTCTTGGCTCAAAGATGCTCAGAGTTTGAAGGATAGCGGTGCCTGCAGCACACAGCACTGTGCCTGGCGCCCAGTAGGGGCTCCATACATGTTTGCCTGATCAGCCAGAGTCATATCCTCCTGAAGCAGCAGCCTGCCCCATCCCGGGATACTCTGTCAGGAGCCCAGCCTGCCCCCAGCACCTTGCCGATCAGAGCAGACCCTGCTCCCCCTGCCAGTCCTGTCCAAGGTCACCCTTGCTGCTTCTGTGCACTCTTCACAGGACAGCTCAGTTACCCACCCGGACACTCAAGCGGTTTCTGTAAGCCCTTCTTAGAAGCTCCCTAACTAACCCCAAACCGCTCCACTTCCTCTCACTGATGCAAGGCGGAATACTCCTCCTCTGTTCTTGAGCCTTTCCTTCTATGGATATGCCCACATCACTATCCACGCTCCAGCTCTCAGCTTCGCAGGGCCCCAGGCTCCCTGGGGCCAGGCAAGAGGGAGGTGGTATCTCAGGTCGGTGAAGCTGATCTCCCCAACCCCAGGAACCCAAGGCCCCCTACCTTAATGGACCACAGCCCAGGATGCTCAGGCTTAAAGGCCACAACCTTGGCCGAGTCAGGGATGTTGAGGAGCACGTCGAGGCCCTCGTCCCTCTGCACGATCCTCCCTGTGGAAGCCCCAAGGACCGCTTAGTCCCCAGCCACTTCCTGGGGGTGACAGCGGCCCACCCTGTCCCCTGGAACCCACAGCGCTCCAAACACCAGCCTCGGGCTTCCTAGAGGAACTGACAAGAGGCCTTTGGTGGTACCCGGGCCTCTATCTTACCCTGATCTCCATCCTCATCCCTCCCCAGGTGCCGGCTGTACCCCTGGCCTCTGGACCTGAATACTCAGGATATCCGCAGAGCACCATGGGGCCAGGAGACCGGGTCCAAATCACACTGACCCTGGGCGACCGGACAAGTCACTCCACCTCCCAGAGCCCCAGCTTCCCATCTCTACGATGTGCCACTAATTCTTGCCCCCACTGACTCTCCAGGCCACCGAAGAGTTCCACTGAGGGAACACGGGGAAGATGCCATGTCATCCTTGAAGCCCAGGGACTGTCATTATTTTAATTCCCCTATAGCTGGGCTGCTAACGGCCTTCCTGCTTCCTCACCTACCACGGGTACCCTCCCTGCCCTTCACTTGGCATTCCCCCTACCCTCCTTGCTCCTGGAGCCTTATGTCCAAACCCCCTATCACCCCAGGGCCTCTCTCTCTGTCCCATTCTGGACTCCCATCTCAGTCTCAGGGCCAAGGTGGAGGCCAGCCCTGGGGCGCACGTACCCAGCGGGTCTTGGACTTCGATCTCGGGCCCCGGGCCACTCAGGGAGATGGTGACCTCCTTCAGGCTGGGGTCAAAGGGGATCTTCCACGTGTGCTCGCCGTCTTCCTCGTGGTCCGTGGACAGCAGGTGCACCTTGGAGGTCTGGATTGCTGACTCCACCCACTTCAGCACCTGGAAGGCAGGTGTGAGAAGCCGACACTAGCAGGTGCCCGTGATGTCTTGCTTGTGTCTGGCCCACAGGAGGTGGGTCCCTAACACGCTGCCAGTTGTGTGCAAAATCCGGCCCCCCAGTGGCTTTTAGGCAGCATACAGGCTTTCCAGGTCACCTGAGGCCACCCCACTCCCCACTGCCCTATACTAGGCCCGATTCATACGTCACTACCCTCTTGGCCTGTGGGCTCAGAACTGTGACACCTGAATGAAGGCATCCAGAAGACTCAGCTGGGACAGAAGAGGCAAAGGGTGCCCTCTGCTGGGAAGACTTCCCCCCTTCTTCACATGGCCAACTTCTGTGACACCCATCACCGCTTCCAGGAAGCCCTCCTGATGCCTCCTACACACTGATGAACTCTGGAGATCCGGAATCTCTCCCAGAGCAATGTGGTTCGGCATCCCCTACCCAAGGGGCCTCAGACCACACCCTCACCTGGACACCATGCTCTCTAAGCAGGACCATGTCTCTAAGCAGACAGCAAAGACAGCCCCCTCCTGATCCTTGTCACAGCACTGAGAAATCTTACATCCTTTGTTTCTACAACTGCTTTTATTCATTCTAAAATCTTACTCTTTCAGACAGGTCCCATTGAAAATCAGGTAACTCTCTCCAAAATACCATACCACTTATTTTCCTGAATAAGGAAACAATCAGATGAATCCGCAACACGGGACACTGTATAATCAATACCTCTCCAACAAGTTAGTGGCATGAAAAACAGGTGGACCACTCCAGATTTAAGGAAACAACAGACATAAGAACCCAATGAAATGCACAGCCCTTGATTGAATCCTGATTTGACATTTTGAGGACAAATAGGGAAAGTTGAATATGGGCTTGGCATCAGCTGATACTAGCAAAGTACTAGTCATTTTATCAGGTGATATTGTGGGTTACGCTGGAGTCTATCTTTTTTTTTTTTAATTTATTTTTGGCTGCATTGGGTCTTCGTTGCTGCGTGCAGGCTTTGTCTCTAGTCACGGCGAGCAGGGGCTACTCTTCGTTGCAGTGTAAGGGCTTCCCATTGCGGTGGCTTCTCTTGTTGCGGAGCACAGGCTCTAGGCAAGTGGGCCTAGAGTAGTTGTGGCACTTGGGCTCAGTAGTTGTGGCTCACGGGCTCTAGAGCGCAGGCTCAGTAGTTGTGGCACATGGGCTTAGTTGCTCTGCGGCTTGTGGGATCTTCCCGGACCAGGGCTCGAACCCGTGTCCCCTGCATCGGCGGGCAGATTCTTAACCACTGCGCCACCAGGGAAGTCCCTGTTTTTACTTTTCTGTATCTTTGACACTTCTCATAGAAAAATTTTAAGCAAAAATCAATTGAAAGGAACAAGTATGCCTTTACATGCATGACTTTAGAATATACCTGAGCAACCATAGGGGTATGCTGTCACTCACCAGTTCTAATCAACAGGAAGTGACTTCCTGGAATACTGTTTTGAGAAATGTGAAGCCACGTTCAGCCGCAGTTAGAAAAAGGTCTGTGACTGATCAGCAATGTCTGCCATGGATCTGGAATCAGAACGTGGTGTCTGGCATGCTACATATTGGCCATCCTCGCTCTAAATGACAGTCCTCCAGCTCTGCCTACCATGTGATCTTCCGTGGAAGGGAAAGGGAACAGAAGGGAATTGGAAGAATTGCTTGAGATTTGGAAAATGAATATGTTTTGGTTAGACTGAGCTGGAACATATGCACCTAGATTTTACAGCTAGATTTCAGTTATCACTGGACGAGAATTCTGTGTTCTGAAAACTCCTCTGTTTTTATATTTGGAGCTATTTCATTCTTCTGTTTCTGCCTAACTTTCTAAGGGATGTTTCTCTTGAAAAGATCCCACCTATTTTGGTTAAGAAATTAAGACAAGGCTCTTCGTCCGTGTGGAGGTAGACCAGAAGCAGCAGCTAAGGCTCCCAGCAAGAAAGGCAGACAAGCTGGTGAAGTAAGTGAGGCAGCTCCCCGACAGCAAAGCAACAGCTCTGTGACCACGGTCTTTCCGCCCCCCGCCCCCCCAGGCCAGGCCTTGTCAGGGGTCAGGAGGAGAGATCAGAAATGAGCAAAGCTGCCAGGAGGTGGTGGCAGCACCCGTTGACAATTACCCAGACGGGTCACACCCGCTACTGTGTTGCAACTGTCATTACAAGCTCTTTCTAGGATTTTTTGATGGAGAGAAGATGCCCAAGAGCTCAGGCTACTGCACGGAGAGGGCTGAGATGGGACAGGAGGCCAGCGACCCCATCAGGAGGCGGCCCGCCCATGAGGGCTGCCCTGTAAGCACATCACCACTCCGGAGCTCGGGGTGCTGACCCTCTTGCCCACGGCAAGGCCAGGTGGCTGCAGGCCCAGGCCTGGGGGCAAAGCCTTCTGGGCCTGGCGGTGGCCCGGGGACTCAGAGAGGAATCGAGGGAAACTTCTGAGCAGACAGCCTTCATCGAGCAAGCTTAATGTTTATTTGCGAAGGTAATGACTTCCAGATGTTAGCAGGACAGGGGGGCCTGGGAGCCAGCAATGCACTGGGGCTCATCTCTGTTGCTGATGGGGAAGGAATGAGAAAATCTGGCGCTGCTACCCTGGCCAGATGGTTGCCACTCAGCCGTTCACAGCAGATAAATCATCCCCCGAGGCTCTTCCCAAAGCATCTGACAGTCAGGGTGAGGAAACCGAGAGGGGAAGCTGGGGACAGGGGCGCCAAATGGGCCTCAAGAACCACAGATCGGAAAACTGAGGGCCTTTGACAACTGGGCACCACGGGGCACTGGGCCCAGCCTCTACCTTCCTGAGAACCTTTTCCAGAGAAAGCTCTTACCCTTGAGGGGGCTTCGCTAGAGCTGGGGTGTGTGTGTTCTGCGCTCCATACAGAAGCGCAGGCGCTGGAGGTACGGCCACCACTAACCCTCCCCCGGGGCTCCCTGGTGCCTGGCCTCATGCAGAGGTCTTCCTCCTACCCTTGTCACCATCTCTCCAGGCAGTAGCCCTCATAACCCAACTGCGCACCTGAGGAAACAAAGGCCCAGAGAGGTTAAGTGCTGGGCTCAAGGTCACACAGCAGACAGGTGGCAGAGCTGGGGTCTGAAGACAGCATGTGACCTTAACCCCCCACCACCCCACCTCCTCTGGGAAGGGTCCAGGATGAGGTCATCTCCAGGGCCTGTCTCCTGATCTGTTAATCCAAACCACCTGTTAATCCGACCTCTCCTCCCCCTCCCCCTTACTGTCTTAGAGGGCAGTTCACCTTTCCCCTGGTTAATGCCCAGATTCTGAGCAATTTGTCATATTTGTACCTGCTGGTGCTGGACAGGGAAAGAGTCTGAGCCCCCAGAATGGGACTTCCCAGGACCCCAGAGGGCTTCAGGATGATGGGCTTTCCCAGAAATTCTGACCATTCTGTTGGAGCTGGGGACGGGACGTTGAGCTGGGTCTGAGCTGGGGGGAAGCCTGTGGGAAAGATGTGCTGGGGCAAGGAGGTTCTTGGACCCAGCTAAGTCCTAATTAAAAATGCACACCTCTGGGGACTTTCCTGGTGGTCCAAGGGTTAAGACTCCGTGCTTCCAATGCAGGGGGCACGGTTTCGATCCCAGGTCGGGGAACTAAGACCCCACATGCTGCGCAGCATGTCCAAAAAAAAAAAAAAAATGCACACCTCTGGGACAGGCCCAAGGGGTCACACTGCCTGCCTCCCCTGTCCGTTGAAGGATGGCAAAAGCTACAGATTACCCCTCCCAGGGCGAGAGGGTCTTCACCCTCCTTTAGTTACTCTGGAATCTCAAAGGTGGAAAAAGCTAAACGCCCGAAAGCACAGAGACCTAAGATTGATGGATAATCTCTCGGCGCCCGCCACCTAAAGCTGCACCAGCGCAGAGTACGTGCTCGATAAATGAAGGGAAGAGAGAACGCAAAATGTTTCATTCCTGCCATACTGGACATACTTTGAAATGGTCAAAGAACTGACGACACAGGCAGGGTTTGGGGGACTCCTGCAATTTTTTCTAGCCGGAGCCCCCTTGGCTCGGGCAAAGGCACTGTTCCCTCTCCTGGGGGGATGACCAGAGCCCTGGCTGCCCCGGCTACTTTCCCAGGCTTGCCAAATGTCTGGGGACATCTGGAAGGGGCCAGACAAGGCATGAAGCTAACGAATGACAGAGCTCTATTCAGGCAGGAGAGGCATCCAGGTCCCTAGCCAGGGGCAGCCAATCCTGGCCATCAGAAGTCCTACCATGTCAGACGTGTCCTGCCCGGCCAGGCTGCCACGGCAGAAGGCTGGCACCACGGCCAGGAGCCAGGGGCTCGCCCCAGGTTCCATGGCTCGAGGGACAGGCTAGGAGAGTCCAGCCCCACACCTGAGCAGGCGGCCCTCCACCGACCCACCCAGATGCCTGACATCTGATTTGCCCCAGCAGGAACCCAGTTCCCGAGCAACTGCCCAGATAGGACACCGCCGAAACAAGGACCAAGCCATCATTCCACTCTGAAATGCCTCCCACCCTTGCTTGGGTGGCTTAGTGCCAGAGCAAGCTGACACGCCAAAAGAAATAAATCCTAATGTGTAGCAGAGAACCATAAACGCCATTTTTCAACAGGGAGCGAAGGCGCTAACCTAAACACGGCCCTGGAGATCATAAATATACAGCATACCATACCCTCTCCCGGAGACAAGAGCAGAGCTGGCCCGAGGCCGCGGTGGCCTCAGAGATGCTGTTCCTCTCATCTTCCTCTTCCTCACGCACAAGGCACTCCACGTCATCCATTCACCAGCTACTTACCAAACACCTGCTCCATGCTGGTGGCTGTGCCAGGTGCTGGAGATACAGTAGCAAACAGGAACTTAACGGCCCTGCCCTCAGGGAGCTCACAGCCTAATGGCATTAAATAATCGCACAGCTGCACAATTACGATTATATAAAGCAGTACAGAGAGCTGGGAGAGGGTATGAAAGGAGACTTAATCTTGCTGGGAAATCGAGGAAGGTGCATTTCAGCTAAGACTGGGAAGATGAGGGGCCAGGGGAGGAGGAGCTGGAAAAACAAGCCACACGAGCAAAGGCCCTGGGGGAGGAAAGACACGGGGCACTGAAGAAAGAGCAGAGAGGCCAGCAGGGCGGCAGCAGCAGGCAAGGGGGAGAACACAGGCGACAGGCTCAGAGAGGCAGGACTCAGATAAGGCTCTGGACTTGTTCCAGGGGACAATGGGGCGGGACCTGTTGGTCAGATTTGTTTTAGAGGATCCAGTGGGATGCAGGACCAGCTCATACAGGCTCAAGAAAGCTGATTATGAGCATCACTCCCCATGCTCTGTGACTTCATGACGGCAGCTTGAAACCAGCCAAAGTAGGAGTATTTACACCATGGAAGTGGGCATTCTTGTTCCTTCCAGAGAGAGATGGTTGTGAAACATTTACCAACATGCCACTGGAAGGATCCCTCTGGCTCCTGGGGAGGAATGGACGCGCTGGGCAGAGGGAAAGCGGGGAGAGACCTGAGCAAATGATGGCGCCTGGAGGGGAGGAAGGGCAGGCACCTGCTCCAAGACCGAGATGAGGACGCAGACACCTGGTCAGCGCTGGGGCATCAGCAGCCCTGCACGTCAGGCTTCAGGGCCGAGCAAGCCTCTCCCTGCCAAGTCTCCAAGCTCGACTTCCTGTCCCAGCAACACAGTCCAAATCTGATGCCCCCCCCCATGCTCCTGCACCCACTCCTGGGCTCCTCGACTCTGGGGAGAAGCTCCCCCTACACCCCCACTCTGCCAGCTTTTGTTAGATCTATCCTACCAGCCTGGACCTCCTGGGGGACCCGGGCTAAAACCCAGGGTGCTCCTTCAAGTCCCAATCTTTGTACCGGCAAAACTGAGAAGCCCGCAGCACCTGCTTTTGGGGCGAGTGAGAGGGTTTGGCCAGATGATGCCAAAAAATCCCTGAGCACCAGGCTTCCTGTGCTTCCTGCTGTGGCGTGAGCGCTCAGCACCGCTCATCCATGATGGCAACCAACCCACGGCCCGAGCCACCCAGAGATGCAGCATGTCAGGGCCGGCTCACCTCGGTCACCTGCTGCCTGTCCAGGTGGAACACCTGCCCGGAGCTGGTGGCAGCAATCTCCTCGTAGGCCAGGTAGCCAGGATGAGTACGGTCACCACAGTCCCCGGTCAGCACAAAGACCACCTAGAAGAGAGACAGGCAGCCTGGCTCATGGCTCCTCTGCCACCTTCTACAGGTATGAGTAGCAAGGCCAGAACCAGGGAGGAGTGACCTGGAGAAAGCCCCTTCCTCTCTCTGGGCTCAGGCGATGCATCTGTAAAATGGGAATGATATGAGTTCCCACCCCGTGGGGGTCAGGACTGATGCAGGTCACGTGTTCCTCACAGGGCCAGGAATACAGTAGGTGCTCGATAAATGGGAGCCGTTATCAAATCTACAAGGAAGGGAATGGAAATCGACTCTGCTCCAAGTGGCCCCTGGAGGCCGCAGAGCTAGAAGAACCTTGGAGAACCCGAGTTTGTTCTAGAGGGGAGAGCAGAGAGGCGTCCCAGCCCTTGAGGTCTTTCCCAAGGATTCCAGCGGGCGGGCCCTCCTTCCTTCCCTGCACACATCTCCTTCCCAACCCCTCTCTGTGAAAGCAAGAAGCAAAAGCCCCGGCACGTCTTCCAGACCCTTAGACAATGCAGAGGCGACGCCAGGAAGAAGACGGATTGCCCGGGCTCCGACGGGGTGTGAAGGGAGCAGGGCGGTGTGGTCTTTATCAAAACTGGGTCTCGCCAGGGAGGCCTGCGGCCTGGCGGACGGGGTGGGAGCATGAGAACACACTTGGACTTCACAGCCCAGCTCGGTCAGTGGGCTGGTCGGCACTGCTGGCGGAGGCTGGACCCAGACAAGCAGCAGCTCAGCTCTCCGGAGGTGCGGGAGGCGG